CTCTATATTGCCAACGCCCAACTTGAGGTACTCACTTCATATGATTGTGCTGTATCCTAGAGAAGCCGAAGATCAGCCAAGGAAGTGAATTTGAGCGCCCGGTTTCGTGCCGTACTTTCCGAAGGTAACCCGATGTTTCACATTTGAACGCTGTGCTGTTTTCGCACGGGCCAAGTGTGCTTCACCCCCTTGCAATCGCTCCCTGTACCTGCAACTATTGACTTCCGCAACCTTCCCCTCCCCGTTGTCCGACGTGTTGTTTTAGGACCAGTTGGATGCCTCGTGCGTATACCCGCCCCTGAGAGACATCCGCGAGGTGTCGCTCAAGGTGGCTGTCGCAATCGCAGCCAACAAGTACGCCACAGGACAGGCCAGCGTGTTGCCGAAGCCTGCAGACCTCGAGGCCCACATTCGCTCTGTTATGTACACTCCGAGGTACTGACTCTTTCGTGCTCGGGGGTCGTTACTCAAGCTACGCCACGGGCAGGCCGGAGATACTTGCAGGGAAGCGCTCTAGACCCCGCCCTGTACGGTTGTGACTCCATTCAAGTACTGCAGCCGTACCCTGGCGTTGTTTAGACTTGGGGTGTTGCCTTGTTTTTTTGCGGCGTCGTGGTTTGGTTACGCTTCTCACGAGGAATCGATTGCTGTTTGCAATTCGCAAGGTAGCAGGGTTGTCGTATCAACCGAGCCCGCATCTACGCACGAGGTACGCTAGTGAACAAGCGGGCGGCACACAGGATACATGTGTGGAGACGTGCATAGTAGGTTTTCAATTTTCACAAAGTTGAAAACACCGATTGAATCAAGGTGCTTTGGAATGGCCGATCCCGTAGACACACAAGTTCTTGAAATATTTCAACCTTATGCCCGCGTGGGCACGCTAGCGTGCATCATTGTTCTGGTTATTGTTACCATCTGACGTATCGCCGTCGCTCACAGTATGGACCTACCGCACGAACTTGTCTTCTATGCGTAGGAGCTACGATCCGGGGTCAAGGAAGGCCCTCCACGATTTGCACCTTCAGTTTTGAAGCGAAGTTGAGCAGTCACCTTGCCCTCAACCGTACAAACTCACAAGATTTTCAACCAATGCATATGCCAGGATCTGAACCCAGGACCTTTATTATCCTTGGATTCGTTCGAGGATTCCTTTCGGGCAACCTCATCCCACAATTCTTGGCACTTGCGCAACACCCACGAGAGAGAACTAAAACGCGATTCATTTTTTTCAAAGCGACTTACGCCATGACACAAAACCTCACACCTTGCCGCAATTGCTCTTGGCCACGCGACTACCAAGGATACGTCCAACGACACGATTGAAGGTGCGTCCGAAAGGCAGGGCCAGTCCCATCCTTTCCACAAGACTTCGGAAGAAATACCGCCGGGGTATCATCTTGACCGCACAGCAAACTGCGATTTCTACCGTCTGATTTACAGAGTTTCGTGAACATGTTCCCTGTTTGCGTCTGGAAGAAAACCCGACGCCCTAATAGTCCGCCTCGTCTTCTGCCGCTTCCTTGCCCCCGCCTTCCTCCGGCTCACAATGTTCTGCCGCCTCGGGGTTGCTCCCATCCCCTCGGAGAGCCTCGATCTTCTCTCGCAGCATAGCGACGCTAGAACCAGAGAACTGATCCACCACCTCACCTTTTCTCATGAATAGAAAGGTGGGCATCTGAACGACGTCGTACTTTTGCGCGGTTTCCTACAGCAATGCCAGACGAAAGGGGGTAAGGATGGGGCGGGGTTAGTCTGGACGTGCCGTGTGGTGGTGTGGTGGACGCCGTATCGAAAGTGGTTGCCGTTGCTGCGGGCAGGAGGCATGCATCATCCTGGATATACCACGGCGCCACGTGACTCTTTTCCTTTCGCTTCGCATTTACAAAAAACTTGTTGCGAGAGCAGCACCACGCAGGGGGCACACCAGTACGGACAGATGACAGCCGCTAGCCAAGGACGCCGTGTGGGACGAGGCTGGGCGCAGCACCTGAAAAAACACTAGTCATCCAACATCGGCACTATACTCAACCCCCAGCTGTGGCATGCCCCCCACGGTTGAAATTGGTATAGAAACACCTTCGATCAAGACTTACGGGTTGCGCCACCAACCCCTGTCAAACCTCGGTACCCGTCACACCCCTCACCTCGTTTTCGTCCACATCGACCTTCAAGAACACAACGTCTGTCAACTCCTGGCTCAGGAGCTCAAACACAGGTGAAATCTTCTGGCAGGGGCCACACCACGTTGCTGTGAAGTCGATCACTACAAGAGCATCATTGCTGTTGGAGAGAACCTGTTCGAGCTCCTCTTGCGTGGCGACTTGCTGCACCTGCATCCAAGTATATATCAGCGGTTACACATTGACACCGTGCCTAGACTGCGTACCAGTGTTAGAACACGTTGAGTGTCCCCGGTTGGCAAGATGAACTACGTAGAAACGAACACGCTGACAGGGTACGCATCATCGTGGGATCGCAGCGACGCCTCCGCAACAGCGCCTCGGCGTCCACGACGCCATCTCTGTCGGGCGTGCTCGAGCAGAGCTCCTTTTGAGTGTGTGTCCTGTGGTACAAAATATCCTAGGGGACGTAGGATACCACGTCGTAGTGATAAGAAATAGCCCTTAAACATATACCGCACCCTGTGCTCTGTACGGCGTTAAGGTGTAGCCGTATCAGCAGTACGTTGTAGCAACCGTGACTTGGAAGATACACACGGTGACTCCTGCTTGGACAAACTTTACGCCGTAAAAACTACAACCCGCACGCCATGTCGTGTGTTGAGGTACTCTGCAACGAGGAGGCGCGTGGATCTTTTCTGAGTGTGATGACATGTGTCTGTCATTCACGGTAAATAGTTGGTGCCTGGAAACGTATGGAGGTACATCTAGACACCCATGACGTGCCTGCTGCGCGCTGCGCGGCGATCAACCCTGTTTTCGAATGATGAAAAAATGTGTTTGCAGCTAGATGCTTGGTCCACAAAATATCGTGCTTGTCGTTGTTGCAAGTACGGCCGTGAGGAAATTTGCCTCTGAACCAAAGAGCACAATCATCAAGCAGCTCCCCGCAGCGCCTTACCTGTCCCCCTCCACCCCGTAGGTTGACAACTGGTGGTGAATCCCGGTTGCATCGACAGTCAAAGATCATCTGCTGCGGAAACAGCGATAGAGACGAGCAACCTTGATAAGCCGTCGTATCGACGACACAAGTGCCACCGTGCTTCAAGAAGTAGTATTGATCATCCCTGTCACAGGTCACAAGCAGGAAATTGATCATGACAAAGCGCGCGGACGTACGGGCACGTGCCGTATTCTGTGAAACGTACTACATGCAAATGCAGTAGTTTATGTGAGACGATATGCACAGCAGTGCGTGCAAAAACAATGACTCGCCTCGTGTTTCGAGCGCCTGCCAGTCGCGGGGTTGTATGCACTTGAAAGAGATCGCCGGACGACGAAAGCATCATATCTGGAGAAAAGCGACAGTACTGCCAAGCACCAAGTAAGGGCTGCGTGCGTCATTCTTTCTTCGAGGCAGGGCAAGAGAGGGATGTTTTTCCGTGGGGACGTGGGGAAAGCTTGTGCGAAGATGACTCCCGCGCGGGATAACCCCCGCGGGATAACCGGGATAACCAATATATACGTGGAGAACGCGACGGCGTTTTGGTTCGTTTTTGAGGGTTGTTGATTTGTAACTGAAAAGCACGAACAAAAGCACGAACATGCAAACGACAAAACGACTTCATCTATCTACCTGCTCAATATGTGCTGACATGCGTCTCTGCTCTCTCTTTCTCTCTCTCTCTCTCTCTCTCTCATCCGCATGATATCTCCGACACACGGCTGCACATACGGTGTGCTGCAACACATGTTCAACGGTGTAATATGGTGACACCACCAGCGAGCACTGGGCAGTACGACAGCAACACAAACGTGCGTGGGGGATACCGGAAGCCAGAGCTTTCGGGTTCGGAAGTATGCCGGACGGGAGAGGGCGTGGTTGGTGGTGCTATCCAGGGCGTAAAAACAGGTGTGATGGTGGGCACTTCAACCTCACGATGTTCCGGCTCCCGTCCGTGTGTCAAGACGCCGCTCGCGCGCGTCCAGGAATCCACTCCCCCCATCCAGTGGCGGGTATCACTCCTTGCTCGTTCCACCATCAACCGAGACGACAATGTCAGTAGAAGCAACCCACCACAAGGAGCTGCTGAGAAGGACTGCCCTTCTTTTTGCAGTGTTTTCCCGCCACCTCACTACCAGAGCACCAGTGGTCTATTGGCCAGTGTTGCGAGCACCGCTGTGTCATCTACGGATGAGGTTTGTCCTTCTGAAAACAGCAGAATAAAGCGATCGACGACAACAACATCGACGCGAAGCACTTCCGTTGCCATTTTAGCACATGGAGTTGTCGAGGATTCGTCGTCGTGCGACTCCGCCACAGCGGCCCGCACGGTAACGGAGGTGGTAGAAACAGCCTTACGGGAGCGGGAAGCGTTGATGAGATATCCGGGGCCACCAGAGGAGCATCACATCAAGTCAGAAATGGTACAAACAACAGAGGAGGGTACCCTCAGGACGAGAAGGGGCTGGTGCCCAGCGCACAAAACGACGCGCATTATTAGAAGGGTGTCGGTTCCTGTACGCGAGGGCGCATCAGGAAGGAGGGGGCGATTCCGAGAGACCACCAGAACCCTGGCTACTGCATTGAGTCCCTCGGAGGCGAACCAGGAAGGTTTGGATGCAAGGGCTGCGTCGTGGGTCCCCAAAGAGCCACCACGACAACTGCACAGGCCACGTCCAATTTGGGCAGTGCTTCGAAATCGCACCTTAAAAGTAGCGCAACAAGACCCCTGCATCTTCAGAGGGACCAGTAAGAATAAGCTAGAAGGTGGGGCGGATGAAGTAACACACACGAGGCAGAGGCCGCCGTGGCATGTTTTGAACCGAAGGATATTCGGGTTTCGTGAAATGCCCCCCCGCGGGATGATCATGTTGCCGGAATGGATGATGTTCGCTGCAGGTGTTCCGCCCTAAGGCACAGATGAGATAAATCGCTGGGCATTGTGCCTGGGGGGAAATGTTCCAGATATCCAACCTTAGGGTGTACACCTTAGGGGCGTTGGAAAAACAACTTTGGGGTATTGCAACGTATGGGAAGTCGGGTGGAAATCGTGGTCCGTACCCGCTTCAAAGTCAACTAACTGCTCCATGGGTTCGACAAAAGGCGCCCATTTTTATTACTTCAATATGTAGTACACCTTCAACACTGGATGGAGCCCTTGCCAAAGCTTGAAACGCCATGTGCACTGAGCAGGTGTCTCCTGGGATCATCTACCATGATTCACTGATGCTATATTCTCCTCTCCAAAATCCATACGAAGAGAATAAACACCCAAGAGTTCACAAGAGCTCGATTTTAGTGAGTCACATGCCGCAAATACATGCGATTTGGCAAATGCAACAAACTTCAGGCAATCGTTCCTTGTGTTGTTGCGTCATTGTCTCGCAGCGGTCCTAACCCAAGGGTTTGGGCACTACCGTGTCCACTGCCGCCATGATAGCATCCATACTCGCGTGATCGCCAAAAACCTGTGGATTGCGCGGCGAAAGGGGGAAATGGTCGAGACTGTTCACCCTTTTGCATGCGGTGTAAAGTGAGTGGCGGAGAGACCATTATCCTTGAGTGTCAACGGCGCAGCAAGGGCTTCAACGACGTGAAAAGAGACCCATGAGTTTTGTCAAGTCCTTCTCACCGCCTCCCTGTGCTCGAAGGCGATGCCGGAATCTCCGCCCCCTACCACAAGGAGGCCGCCAAGCAGCCTTCCTTCTCCCTTCAGGTTGCCCTTAACGCCCTTGGCGGATGCGCGCTTTGCGTTGCTGATCACACTCGGTTTCATCAGAGAAGACAAACCCTCCCATCGCATGCCCAGCGCTGCGTGATTGTGACAGTGGAGGAATCTATGGTCAAAGAGTGGATACGTCAATTCTGGCACAACAGACGGTAGGAAAACTATCGCATACGGCTGCACAATGGTGAAGCAGGGGCACGTACCGTTGAAGAACGCCTTCTCCTCGTCAAAGTAAATTTCGCCGTTTTTGAAGAATCCCGAGAATTCCTCCACGCCAAGCTTCTCGTGGACAACTCCAACGAGCTTCACCCCTTTGGCCGCGAAATCTGGTTGCTTGTTACTCAGATCCTGCGCTGTCACCGGTAAGAGCATGGAAGGTCTCAGATGATGGCAGCTGTGGACCACTATTAAATAGTGACGACCTCTCTACTATTTGGAAAAACTATGCTTGCGGCAACGTATAGGGCGAATGACACATGATGATGCAAGTGGAGCCCGCAGAGAGATATTTGCTTACGAAAGCAGGTTGCGAAGTGAAAGAAACCGCTGCAGAACACCGCTTTGGTGTACGTGTGTCCAACTCTAAGTTGCATATTCTAGCCTGTACCCCACGCCAAAGAAGAAAATACTCGTAAGCCGCAAACCAAAATGCCGTCGCCTATGTACGGAAACGTGACAGCGCCTACCTAGTAAATACGACATGGTACCTGGCTGGCTGCAGGCTGTTTTAAACTCCTGTAAGCCTACGCTTCAAGAACAGCACGAATGTACGTGTAGCAACACCTAACCTCTGCTTGCTTGGAAATTCAGAAAAAACAACAATTAATACTGCTGTGAACTTTGCCAAAATCTTGCCTCTGCCATGTCACAGAGATCTCTCGAGGATTTGCACATGGGAACATGATGTGCTGAACATGGCAAGACTTCGTTCACTACACATGCAACCTCCAGGGGCCAGATCATAGACCTCTCACACAAATACGAAACCTCACCATGCTCACGGCAGAGTGCACATCCAGGCCGCCGCACTACGAAAACGATCGCTGGTTGATCCTTCCACAGATCGCCTGCCGGGAAAGATCCCCCCGCCGTTGCTACGGGTGTATCTGTCCCTGCTACCGTCATGCGCTGAAGCCCAATATCCTTGATTTTCTCGGTGGTAACTGGCTCTGAGGCCGCCTTCGCGCTTGTGTTCCCCTGCACGAAACAAGCACTTCATTGTTAGAGGTTGTTCACCGCACAGGGAGGTTCGATCGGTGTACAAAAGACACACTTGTCGTCGGTCCTCCTTCATTTTCCAGAATTCCATGCGAAAACAAGGAGATTGCCAGAGCTTGGGAGGGTCAGACGTTCCTCCTTCGTCTATAACAGTCAAAGTGTATGTGTCATATACTAATTTCACTTAGCCTTTTTCTCGCGTCCGACACAAACGCGAAACAACATTAGGACCTGGGTCAATAATTGCTCTGCGTGAAGTTCAAAAACTAATTCTGGAGAGCGAGCCTGAGCGAGAGAGACAGAGAGTACGCCAACGGGAACAAGACAAACCTGTAGATGGTGCTCGTTGCACACGCTGCTGCTGACACACAAAGATAGGCTCGAGAGGTACAGCTGTCAGTAGTCGACAGCTGTGTACTTTGACTATTACCACATTGACTATTGCTGTCGTTGTAGTCTACATCGTATGCACAGCAGTAGCCCGATTAGCAACAAACAATGAAACCTCCTCCGGAGACCTGACTGTGTGTCCCTTCCCCCTACCACTAAGTCCTCCGTTTTGATTTGTGCTGAAGGAGGCAGTCTAGAGGGTGTTGATCTGACGCGAACGGCGCTACGCATCCTGCTGTACTGAGAAAGGAATCACCAAGAAAGGTTCCAGTCAGCCGCAGCAGGGAACAAGCCCTGTAGACTACGCTTACGTGGCGAAAATCGCACCATCCTGTATAGCAGCGTCGTCAATTCTGCGGTTCCTGGAGGTGTTGGTAGGTTTTCCCGTGTGTCTGGTACGTTCAGCAGGAGGGATGTAGACGAAAAGTACAGAGGAAGGTTGCCGACGTGCCGATACACATCATACCTCCGAAGTTGAGATCAGCAATTCAGGGGGCACGCGGACAAAATCTGACAGTCTCGGCCGCCCCGGAGGTCACAACACAAGGAGTATCATAGGGAACAGTAGTTCAACTGCTGAACTGCTGTGTATGCACTTGCTACAGTGGTTGACACGTGTGTAGTATGTGTTCCTCCTGCAACACGTTAGTGGAAACGTATTGCTGTCCGTTGCACGTTGATACGGACAACGCGACATCGCGCGGTTATTTTTGTACCGATACCTGTCTACATGCAGTAGTGCAGTGAAGGATCGGGAGCTCAGCACATGGAACACGAAGCAATACGCTTCGCATGACCTGTAAGGCGAAGCGGTGTGGAACGCTCTTTGCATTTGTAGTTCGACTGTGATCTGTGCGTATCCCGCGTCATTGTTGTGCTCGAAGGACGAACAGAGAGGCCCACAACACACCACATGCACGCAACCATCACATCGCTTACGGTCACACCAGATGGCAATGGAGGTTCTGCAAATTTCGGAGAATACCACTTGAACATCAGGTCTCATTTGTTTCCAGACGTGAACGTGCAACATCTTCGAAGAAAGCTACCAGCAGCACACCAAGCCCGATACACTGCAGACTCCAGTCGTTCTCCAACTGTGGAAATACAGCATCGATTCATCACCGAATGTGTCCGCCGGTGCTTCTCTACTTGCATCGACTGCTGTACACAAATAACTCGAGCAGTTCCCTCAATCTTGGCTTCTACCGGATGGCAGACATGCGTTGGCCCGAGCGCCCAACCGAACAAACGCCTTCTATCATAAGCAGTCCTGTTTGCCCAAACACGAGGTACAGCAGGCAACAAAACCACTATACAAACGGATTCACTTCTGTTGGGGGTTGGAACTCCACCAACTCCGCGAACTACTACTAGAAGAAGAGGCCCTAGCGTCGCCACCAGGTGGCAACGAACCCCCGAAGCTTCCCTGGTGCTGTGCTCGCGTGCTGATGTTCTTGGCAATCACTGCGGCCTCGTCCTCTGACAACTTCAGGATCGTCGTGATCACTGGCAGTAGTCTTGCGTGCTCTGACGGCTCCGAGGTACGGAGTGCGCCTACAACACAGTTCTTGAGATATTCCAGGTTGATGGCAGCATTTCGACCTGACGACAAGGGGCACAAGAGACGGGGGCAGCCGTCAAGTGTCAGTTGTTAAACATCGTGCACACCATCAAGCACAACTCACGGCGGAACGAGCGAGCGCTCCGGAACAAGGATACATTGGGAACACACCACCGAACTTGCGATAAACACGGACGAAACCAACCCTCGGGGGAGCAAGCCTTTATATCTCCGTGCTCATACCAGAGTCTAGATCCTGAAGGCGCTTCTTGTCCAGCAAGGCTGCCTCCAGCTGTTTCTCCAGCTGAGCCTGCTTGGCAGCCTGTGCGTCTGCAGCAGCTCGAGAAGCCTCAAGCTCGCTGAGACGGGATACGGGTTGAATCCAAAAAGAATAAACGCGTTGTCGGAAACTCACCAATGCCTCGAAATCGACAAGCTGATGGGGCTTAGGCTAAACCGTTAAAAGTTTCCAACAACCTATCCGGTATAGATGGTAAAAAGGCACGTCAACGGGAACAGACACAAGGCGCGCTGCAGGCGACGACGAGTACCTGATGAGAGATCGCATCTCAATTTGTTCTTTGGACATACGCTCCCTGAGCTGATGAACATAGAAGAGTTGCTCCCCCACGCTTCCTTGTGCTACATCTGCTGAGTCTGCTTCGCTCGGCATGCTGCTGACACTCTCCCCCAGACTACGTCTTTCAGGCCATGCCGCTCCAGTCGCCTCGGTGCCCATTCCTCGCCGCGGGGTGCCATTCCGAGAACCGTGCTTTTCCTCGTCCCACCCCATCGAAAGTGACGAAACTGCAGGTGTCGGGCTAGACAGGTTCTTGCCCATGTCAGCGTTCACGTCAACCTTTTCTGGTGACTGCGACAAGGAAAGTGACGGAACAAATTGTGACGCTGTGTCGTGATCAACGACTATCATGTCAGCGTGGCAAACGCAACTGTGTAAACCGACAAATTAGGAGATCCCAGACAACGTACACCATCGACAGTCATCTACGAACCGTTCGCGGATACCATACCGACACTCTCTCTGCTCTTCGTGACCTTTTGGAAACGCCGGAGCAACGGTGATCGAATGTTCTCACATGTTTTCGACGCTGGCGGTTTTCCGCGGCTTGAAGGGCGGCCTCCTGGTCTGCCAACCGGGTTTGCAGGGTGACTTCGTTCTCTTGGGCCGCAGCGAGTGCCTTTTGCTGTCGCTGCAGCTCCTGTTTGAGACTCTTACCCTGTATAAGCACGAACCAGTCAATTCGAGTGCGCTCCGGTTACTACGAGTACGCAACTCAACGCGAGACGCGAAATTCATTTGGACCAATCTCCTCTCTATAACGAATATGGCACACAGAGTGCGGTGGACATAGTCGCGACCTAAAGCAACGGTCTATAGTATGCTACACGCCTTCAGTCATGCAGTACTTCGTCACCTGAGCTTCCAGCCGCATGACCGAGGTGTGCGCATCCCTTCTCTCCTCTTCTTTCTCTAACACTTGTGCTTCCAAGGCAGCTGCTGCCGCCGCCATGTTGCCCAGCTCGGTCGCCTGATTTGCTATTTTCTCCTTGAGCTGCCGTGAACATGTGAACATGTGAACATGTAAAGACGGGCCAAGGATTCATCAGGTCTCGCTCAAAGCGCAAACTGGCTTCCCGGGTGGACCGGGCCTGTTGAACAGCGAGGGAATAACTCAAGTGCTCCTGCATCGAAGGACCCAGCTGAAAACTACACCTTTTATCTTACCGCCATTGTTGCCCCGTCGAAGCACTCGTAAGCCCAGCAAAACAGGAACTGCATCGGTAGCAGCTCAATGCAACAGCAACATGTGGGCCAGAAAACTAACGGAAAAAGTAACACGTGCAATCACCGACATCGGCAAATTCAATACGATTCACCTCAGCAACCTCTGCACGATGAACCTCCTCCAGCTGCTTCGATTGTTCCCACAAAGGGCGCTGCTGAGCCACTTCATCGGAAAGCTTCCTCATCTCCGCCTGGTTCAGAGAAAAAACACAAGAAAGACCAACAATGGTCGCTTTGTCGGCCCCGGTTACACAACGGTAAATGCAAATCACTACAAGCCACGTGTCACAACCTTCCGCTGTACCGAGGGAGACGTTACGTGATGCCCTTGCTCGAAACAAGAGAATAACAGTACCCCACCGTTCTGTAGCTCGCCCCATCTGCACCGTACTAACCCGTGACAACGGGCTGTTCTTGACAAGGCACACACACACAAGCCCGTCCCGTCGAAGAAAAATATCCAACGCATAGCTGGTCTTGCTCCGAGTTGCACTGTGTAGTCCACTGCTACTTGCGCAAAGTAGTGTGAGCATTCACCCGCGGTGTGCAGCGGTTCCACCCCCCCTCCCACCCAACAATACGGTCATAATCAAGACAACAAGCCTGCATGATGTGACCAACCGATGACACTGCCATGCAAACCGTGGCGATCAACCACCACCCACGGCTGAAATAATCCGCCTATGCATACCTTGAGACGTTTGTTTTCAGATGCCGTTTGGCTCGTTATCTCGTTTGCACGCTTCAGCGCTTGCTGGGCTCGCGTTCGGTACTCCTCCAACACTCCTGTCGTTTGCGCGCGCGCTGCTGCAGCAGTAGCCTGTGCTTCTTGTGAACGTCGAAGTTCTACGACCTCTTGCTCCAAGCGATCAACCTGTAGATTGAAGTAAAGCAGCATGTGAAAGGCCAACCAGCCAATAGCGCATGTACGCCAACCAATGAATGGAGAGCACCAGACGCAGTCAACTGTACCGTTGTTTGGGAAGCGAATCAATCGTTCATGGCATGCCTATCACATGCCGAACAGTATCGCATTGGGCGTGTGTCAGTCTGAAAATCCAAAGTACCCGTCCAGTCTACATGAGATGCGAAAATTCACACAAAACTCGAATGCGCCCGAATGAAAAATTCTTACCACCCTAGGATCAATGACAAAAGCAACCGCGACTAAGCGGCCATATGTGCCATTCACAGACCGCGCGAAAACGTGTGCATGGTAAAATAAACTGCCTTTAGAGCTGAAATACTTGCCTGCCTCAAGAGAAAATCTCGCTCTTGGGAAACCGATGCCACCACTGTCACACGCTCCGCTCCCTCCACTTCAACCCGTTCCTCAAGGACCGCCTTCTCGGCCTCGATGCGAGTGGCGTGCTCGCGAGCCTCCTCCAGCTCAGACTCTATCCTTATGCTTTGCGCGCGCACCTGTTCTAAGCCGTGGGCATCGAATACCACCAGTCAATCAAGGAGTTCGCCGCGAGTATAAGCATACATGAGACGGCGACACTGTAGCACCACCGAGCGTCTTGAAATATAGAGAAGAATACCTCCTACATTAACGCTCAAGGGGTTTCCCGCTTACTGAAAATTATACATTGACGGCAGACATACACTCACCTGCTTAAAATTGCGCTCGAGAGCCTCGTACTTGGTAGCCCACGTTTTTTTCTGGTCAGTTGCCTCGCCTGTATTCTTCTTCAAGGCTACCATGTCGTCTCGCTGCTTGCTCAGCTCCACCTCACGCTCCTTCGATTCAGCCAAGCATGTGTTACGGTGCATTCGCGGTGCATGTGCAAAGTTTCAAACGAGAGAAAATATCGCGTCATGGCAGGAAATACATGCGAAACAGACGCAGTAAAGTATGCGTAGTTCGGTCGACGACGACAACAGCTAACCTCCGAGTCGCACTCACACCACCGTCAACATGCACGGGTGGCGCATCAATTGCTACATGGCAAAACATGGGACTTCAGGTTGCACTTTCGTACGTGTCTCCGGACGTGTACACGCTATCAAAGGTGACAACTCCTTCTGTGGAACAAGGAGGTTGCCCGTGCGGCGCCTGCGAGGATCCCCCC